AAATTCGATTATGCTTATCCATTGGGACTTCAGCCATAACCATTTCATTAATAAACCCACAAAGGGAGCCCATAGGTTCAAAATTAATTGCTTAATTTAAAACCTTCAACTATTCAATATTTTTTTGAAAAGAATTTTTGTAGACTTTGTTCAATGTAAAATCCATTATTTAATTTAAAAATTATCTTTAATAACTTAGTATTGCCAAGCATTGGACCATATAATACTTTATTAAAATTTGAAATTATTTAGATCCAATCCAATAAAATCCAATCATACTTATTTGGAAGGGCTTAACATTATTATTTTATTATTAGACCCACAATACGCCTGGAGGTTAAATTAATTTCTTGATGTAAATCTCCTCCCATTCAACATCAATAATTTTTCAAATTTCCTAGAATTGCGAATTCGAGAGCAACCTTTGTTTGATTTCACAATTGTCTAAGTAAGCGGTAGCCGATGAACGTGCATCACTTGACTTATTAAAATTTTGAAAACATTAAGGTCCATCCCAAAATTTGGTCATTATAGGCAGCGCGTGCGACACACAATCATGATATGTAACTTGTATGACACATGACCATGATATGCAACTTGTGTTTGCACATGATCATTTTAAATGACCCACAATTTACTCACAAGTTCTTTTAAATAATTCTCCCAGGAAATATTCTCAATTATTTTTCTAGATTTGAATTATCCAAAATAATTGACTCAATTATTAATCTAGATTTTAAAAATTATAATAAAAATTGTTATTTATACGGATAATTTAAAATCAAAATAATTGTCACAACGACCATTAAACATAAAGTTCGTTATACACATATGTTGAAATATAGAATTAATGTCATAATGACTATTAATATAAGTGATTAAATATAACAACCATATATTTCAAAATTTAATTTAATTGTCATAATGACTCTTAATCTAATCGATGAAATATAACAGTCATTATGCTATGTAATTACCATTGAATTCATCAATATGGCATGTTATCACCCAGATAATTATATCAAACATATAATTCATTTATTTATAAAAATAAAGCAATTATAAAAGAAATTTTATTCTATGGTTTCTTAAAGAAAATTAAATTACAAGCCAATATTTTATGGTCAAAATATTCTCTGACTTGTATTCTTATTTTCCTTCTTCTTTGTAGGTCCATAAGATTTTGGTTCAAGCCTCTTTGGCAACCATGTGCTTAATGGCCCAAAATATCAAAAACTGACAAGAAACCTTAACCTTTTTTCTTGAAAACCCTAGTCGTAGTCCACTGCGTCGTCACCCGAAGTTGTCTTAGCACGAAAATCTAGGGACATGATCACCATGAGGAGAGGGATATGTCGCCACTGGAACCACCGAAAAAAAGACATCTCACACGTTGCTTTTTTGTAGGCGTGTGAGGCCCATGCACACCCACTTATAGCGGCATTTGGAAGCGCATCCGCATTTTTTCTAGCTATTCCGGTCACCGTTATGCTTGTCTTTCCATATACTTTCTCGCCATGATATTGGTTTCTTCAATCGGCCACTGATCGATCACAAACACATCCAAATAAATTCAGATGTACTTTTTTTGCTTCTTTTTTATCTTCTTTTCATCACAATTTTATAAAACAATGAAAAACATACAAAAATAAAAATAAAAATCAAGTAGGAAACCTAATCATAAAAGATTAGCCCCCATGTTACAATATCAAAAGAATACATAGAAATCTCTACCATGAATTAAAGCTAAAAGCCAAAATAAAAGCATCAATTTTTATGAAAAATAATTATAAAAGATGCACATACAAATCATATGACTAACAAATATAGAATCCTAAGTGCCATATTTCATGAAGCAAACTAATTACATGAATAAAAACCCAAAGAACTAGGTCCACATCCAAACATACAATCCGACTCTGATACCAATTGTTGGCGCAATTGGATCTGCGGAAATGTAAAGACCATTGTGGTTTGGTGTGTTATGAAGCATCATTGTTCTTTGTAATACAAAAGTATATCTCTTGTAACACAGATCTGCCGCTTTGTGCCGTTGTGGTGATCCTACTCTCCTCTCCTACCACACAATCTCCTCCTTCACAAACTGGCCTTGTCAACGTCACAACGTGAACAAACCTCCTTGATGAAGATGCACGATCAAGTCTCTGAAGATTGCCTCTGGAAGATGGTACTATCTTCCAGATTATTCTCAAGGGGAATGAGGCAAGTGTGTGGGCACTCTAGGTTTCATATATGATCTCATAGCAACTACACTAGAGGGTGAAGTGAGACTATTAATATGGGAACCAACAAACCCTATCTCTAAGCTTCTTGGACTCTTCTCATACACTAAGCCTAATTGGACTTTAGTAAAAGAGAATAAACCCAACATATGGGACGTGAAAAAGCTGCCCCACGATCCCCGACGTACAACTGAGCAATGAGGAGATCCCACATGTAAAGGTACAACTGTCTCATTGAGCATAGAAGAAACAAATAATCAACTGAGGCACCAAAATCCCACGAAGGTTCACATTAAGTTGACTCATAAGCTGGCCTATAAAGACAAAGATTACCTATATGAACTCAAGAATCAGTTACCGAGACAGACAACTCATCTAAATCTCCTCAGCTGATTGAGCTTGTCCCAAGAATGCAAAGCATGTGAGAGGGACGTAGTCAACCAACATTGACCATTATTCCCAATGCAAATAGATTCTAATTAGCATCTTAGTGCTTGAGCTCAAAGAGACTACTAACACAGTGCGACAGTCTGAGTAATCAAACTTCTGGACTAGGGGGAAATTATTTCAGACCTACATGATGGGTCCCATAGGCTCTAGAAGATAAGGGCCCAAAGCATCTCTAATTCAAAATACGAATCACAAACAAGGGGCCTTCTGCAAACAAGAATATCGTGTCTAACCCAAACATTATCACCTTAGGTAACCCTATCTATAAATTGAGGGCTAAATCACACAACTACACACTTTTGAAACCCTACACTCTCACTGTCATTGTATACACACATAAACCCATTTGGCTTCTAACCTATTGTCTTATGCATATTGATCTGTCATAATATCTGGTTATCTCTTTCATAGATATCGATAGTCATCAAATCCCACATTGAGAATGATTCTCTTTTTATATATAATAATAAGAGATTTGTTTTTTTTCATGTTGCATGAGAAAATAAACCCTTCCTACACACACCATTAAAAGGTGTGTCACTCATTTTTTTGTTTTTTTAAATAGATGGATCTCACACTTGATGTATCTATGACATGAGATTAGAATTCTCCTATAACATGAGATTTATTTTTTTCCTAATAATAATCAACAATGTAAAATTGTAAAATAACTAAATTATATTCTTATAAGATAAAATAATTATAATAAGAGTTGAATTAATAAATAAATATAAATTAATAGAACATCATTCTATTAATACTAATGCTAATGTTATGACAAAGTGTTAAATTAATAAATAAACAGAAATAAAAGAATGATATTACCGTGACAAAATTTGTCAGTAGTTTGGTTTCTGGTTCAATAGGTTGGATTGATTATTCGGTTACTGGCCATTTCAAATTCACAAACTAGCGGCTCAATAAACATAACCAGATCTTTTAGTGGTCCGAATTTTAGTTGGTCTGGTCGGTAGAATTCGATTTTAATAACATTTACGATAGGTCTCTCACTCCTTCATATAAAATTGAGTCCTCTCTACCCGATAACTCTAGTTCAGTTGACAATATAACTGAGTAGGAGGAGAGAAAATTCAAATTTGATTCTTATCAAATACATTTTTGGTTAGACACGATTCAATATTTATCCCATAACATATTCAAAGAGTTGAAGTTTTTAGGATACTCAAAAAGTCAATTCACATTAAAGAAATAATTAGGATCGATATAAAAAAAATTGAGTCCTCTTTTTTCATTAAGGAAACATTGTTGTAATCTCATTGAAAAAAATAATTTAAAATCCATTTTAAAAACGCATATAGTTGTTTTTTTAATTTTTTTTGGAGATTATCTCTCAATAATTTTATAGGTTGCCTATGGATCCACGGGAGTTCTGAGCGAGTCTAGGATTAAATTTTTAAATTTCTCCTAAAAATAATATTTGAGGGAGGATCAAATACATACTCTCCCTCCATCTACTTAATCCACATGCTCCCGTGCTATTTTATTATTGGAAAAAGTATTTATCATTTTAAATGACATAAAATTATGTCATTTTAAAAGAGAGATAAACATAAAATAATTTTTTTGTTTAAAATTTAAATTAAAAAAAAACCAACCACTTTCTCTCCCATGATTTCTATTCCTTGTATCTATCTCTCTCTTAAAACGATCAACATTAAACCCTTTATTATTTTTGTAATCTAGTTCAAGCATGAAACATCCATCTTTAAGTGAAGTAATAAAAAATATTAAATAATACGAATGAGTCGATGACTTACGAAAGAAGAAAAAAATTAAAATATATAAATAAATTATCATATAAATATTTTTATAACTTTGCGTTTTTATTTCTATAATAATTGTTAGGAAAAATGTTTGTCATTTTAAATAACATAAAATTATGTTATTTTAAGAAAGAAATAGACACAAGAAAATATTTTTTTATTTAAAATTTAAATTAAAAAAACCATCCACTTTCTCTCTCACAATTTCTTGTGTCTATCTCTCTCTTAAAATGACATAACTTATATCATTTAAAATGACAAACATCAAACTCAATTGTTATTATTTATAATTTTTATATAAAAAATTATGCACAGGGTAATATAAATGAAGCATGCAACGTAAAATTATGAATAACACCAAACAACTATCCTCAAAATTCCTCCCTTATCCTCAATATCGAAAAGTCAACTTCTTACTTCATGGACGAAAAGCGTTCGTGCTAAAAAAAAGCGAACACGTTCAGCCAAATTACAATCTCTCGTTTCCTTTCATTTCCTTCCTCTTTTTATTATTCATTATTTTTTTCTCTTTTTTTTTTTTAAAAAAAAACTGTTTCAAAATTCAAGCTCCAAAACGAAGCCTTCAAATTAATCCCAACCAAAACGTCATCAAACACGCGCCACCCTCAAAATTCAACAACATGATGGAACCTCCTAAGCCCGAAACGGACCTCGAATCTCATGTGCCGAACGGAGACTCCACCGCCGGAGGCGTAACGAAGGGATCGGGATCGGAATCGCAGGATCCGACGGGACGCACTGCATCATCGTCCGGTAGCGTCAAGAAATCCGTGCATTGGAGCCCCGAATTGGTTACCGAAACCACGTTCACATCTTCCCCTCATGAATCACGTTTCAATCCATACTTTTCTTCTTCTTCTTCCTCTTCTTCTTTCTCTCAATCCTCACCCTCATTCATGGGTCAGTATTCTGCTATTCTTTTTTATCTTTTTTATTTTATTTTTTTAATCATTGCGTTGCATCGCATGCATGCGTGTGGAATGTATATTTATGTTTTGTGTGGTGATTATTTTGGAATCGTTTTGTGATCAGAGACGGTGGTGACTGTTCGTAATGTGCTGGGAAGATGGGGTAAGAAGGTGGGAGAGACAACTCGGAAGGCTGAGACTCTCGCTGGAAACACTTGGCAGCACTGTAAGTTTTCTGTTCTTTTTTTTTATATATATATATTCGTTTTTTGTTGTTCTGTTTCTTAATTCTTAAGTAGATGCACATGAAATGATGCTGGTGCTCGCATTTGATTAATGAATTATGAGAATCCTATTGAAATTTAGTCATTAAGGAAATTAATATTAGGCTTGTACAAATTCAAGTAAGAGTGGAATTATTATGTATTTGTCAGAAATGTCACTGGGGTCCTTTAAAGAAGTGTGATCATATATTCATGTGGGATAAAGTAGTTGCTGGTAATAATGTAACCTCAGGCCTTCACAAGCCGAGCCAAAAGCTCCTAAAAGGCTTCTAGTTTCGTTTAGCACCCCTACTTATATGTCCCTTGGAGGGTCTATGATCTTTTAAGTTATTTTGGCTATAAGATGTTTTGAAGTGTTAATGATCGGTTTCATTATTTTCTTTTTAGAAGTATTTATGTTTTTGAGTGGGTTTTGTACATCCTAAAATATGTAAGTAAAGAAAGAATTCGTCAATAAGGTTTATATAAAGGGCAAAGGGCAAACCTCTGTGCATAAGACTTCCCGACTTGCGAGGGTAGGAGTGAGGGTAGATTGTACGCAGTCTTATCCTTGTATTTTTGCAAAGTCGAACCTGTGATCTTCTAGTCACAAGGAGCAACTTTACCGCTGTTCCAAGGCTTGCCTTCATCAATAAGGTTTATAACTTTATATGTAAAATTATATTATATTTGATACTCATCCCTTATATTTTCACTCCCATTTTTTAGAAGGGTGTACCAAACTAACCCTTGTTGTGACACTGACTTTAGATGCTGTTTTCTGCTGTTGTATAACTTATCCAACATTTCCTTGGTGTACACATTATCATGTCAACCGGTTGTTGTAGTGAGCAGTATCGTTTTTCTCTTTCTGTTTTAATAATCAATGTCCTTGATGGATCATCTTTGACTGATTACTTTCTCTCCTCTCATCATACTTGTTGACATTGAGTCTTCAACATTACATAACTGAAATGTCCTTGTTTGTTACATTGTGTTTAAGTGAAAACAAGCCCTAGCTTTGCTGAAGCTGCTGTGGGAAGAATTGCCCAGGGAACAAAGGTCCTGGCAGAAGGTGGATATGAAAAGATTTTCCTGAATACATTTGAGACACTTCCAGAGGAACGGCTTAAGAATTCTTATGCATGTTACCTATCCACATCCGCTGGCCCAGTAATGGGTGTTTTGTATATATCGACAGCAAAGATTGCATATTCTAGTGACAATCCTATTTCTTATAAATCTGACAACCAAACAGAATGGAGCTATTATAAGGTATATATTCAATACCCTAACATAGAAAAGGGAAAGCATTGGCATGGCACGAAGTACTATTTTTCACAAGTTTTTAACTTTAGTCCATCTGGTTGGCTTATGAATGTGTACTTCAGTTGTTTTATGTCAAATTTTGTCAGGCAGTAACTCATGAAATCGTTATGATGTGAAGGGCCCTTACGTTTTATCTTCTTGTTGGTATGCATTGTAATGTTACAACTTAAAATCTTGGGTTGACTGAAAAGACTTAACTCTTTTAAACAAGGAGATTTATATAATAGTACAATGAGTTCAGTTTCACTGTATTTTATTATCTTATCTAAATACTTGATAAATTTTTATATTCTTGGCATGTGCCTTTATCATGTTCCACTTGTGTTCATAATAGTTCTGTTAATGCTTTTGGGTCATCTGTGTGGTTCTCTCTCTCTCTCTATTTTTTTGGCTACAATCTGTGACAGTGAGCCTTGGAGTGAGTATTTTTAAGGTTGCTTCTTCTGACCGAAAAGTCTCGGGTTCGAGTTTGGAAACAACATCTTTGCAAAAAAGTGCAAGGGTAAAACTATGTACAATCGACCCTCACCTCTGCCCTCACAACTCGGGAAGCCTTGTGCATTGGGATTTGCCCCCTTTTTTTGCTTTAATCTGTGTGACTTTTAATTCATTTGAGTTTTGCTTTATTCTTAAATCATACTAAGATAACTTGAGAGTATATTTTTTGTCCTTCTTTATAGAATAATAACCCTAATTATTTAATAGCTCAATTTTGCTGTTGTCCAGAACTTGAAGCAACATAGTTTTCAGGCACATGCCTTCTAAGCACCACATACCTTTGGTTCATTAAAAATGTAAGGCTAGTTACCCCAAAAGAAAAAGACAGGTAAGCTGGATAGTGCAAACCAACACAAAGGATAAATTAAGTCCTGAGAATTAATGCGGGAAAAAACCATACCAGAAAAGGATAAATCAAAATATTCCTCTTTATTTCATTTTATCCTCTCTTTTCACCTCTCTCTTATAAAAGTTATGCTTGTATGCAATTTAGTTTGGTCTGCTATCTAAAGGAAAGGTAATTTGAGCCATGAGAGAAGTTTTAATTCATTCTCTATATCTTCTGTCAGTTGTAAACAGTGTCAGACTTTAAATTTGAACAAGGATATAAGCTATCTGAGTGAAAGATTAAGTGTAATAAATAATTTGTGTGCATTTAAATTTAGTTGAATTCAAGTTTTAGTCAAGACTTATGGAATCTTGCCAAGTAGAGCCAAATTTTGAGATATTTAATCTCAGCTCGAACATAAAATAGTTGAATTCAAGTTTTAGTCAACACTTATTCAAGTTTCTGACTCAAGCTGGAGCTTAACTCAAGTATAAATATTCAAGCTAGTGGCTCGATTGAGCTCTGTTATAATTATAATTCCTAAATATTTACTATTTTAAATGATATAGATATGATAGGAACAGATTTGTTACTGTTATTAAACAATGGAAAATAGGGGGAACTCCCTCCTGATTACACTGAGAAACAGAAAACAAAGATAGAAACACCTGCAGAGAGAGACTGCTTCCTCCCTGCCCTGAGGCCCATATTCCGTTCTGATGATAGCCTAATACCCCCTCTCCTCATCGGAGCCTTTCTACCATTTCCCTTAATAGATTTCATGTAACGCCTGGCAACTTGCAAGGATTAACGACTGTCCCCACACACTAACACGAGACTTTTCAGCGTGCTTTGTCCTCACTCGCACACTTTCCGGGAAAACTTCCCAGGAGGTCACCCATCCCAGAATTGCCCCAAGTTAAGCACGCTTAACTATAGAGTTCTTCCATTCCGGGCTACCGAAAAGTAGATGCATCTTGTTAGTATAGGTAGTACCAATTAATTCTTTTAAGCTATCCCAAACCGTGCAGTCTCATACCTGCACAGTCTTTGGAATCCCTCTCTTTCGGGTGTTGATTCGATTCATCCATGCATGTAACCCCCCGCTGGAAGCCTGTCAGGAGCCGCTCCTTGTCCATGCCCTTTAGCACCGGCGATCACTCCCCGCCTTCGTCAGCGCTCGGGATGTTACATGCCCACCAGCTTCCGCCTGGTTCGTCCTCAAAACACACCGTACTGGAAGAGAGGCCCTGCTCTGATACCACTTGTAACGCCTGGCAACTTGCAAGGATTAACAACTGTCCCCACACACTAACACGAGACTTTTCAGCGTACTTTGTCCTCACTCGCACACTTCCCGGGAGAACTTCCCAGGAGGTCACCCATCCTAGAATTGCCCCAAGTCAAGCACGCTTAACTATGGAGTTCTTCCATTCCGGCCTACCGAAAAGTAGATGCATCTTGTTAGTGTAGGTAGTACCAATTAATTCTTATAAGCCATTCTCAACTGTACCGTCCCATACCAGCACAATCTCTGGAATCCCTCTCTTTCGGGTGTTGATTCGATTCATTCATGTACCCCCGTCCCTAGAAGCTTGCCAGGAGCCGCTCCTTGTCCATGCCCTTTCGCACCAGCGATCACTCCCCGCCCTCGTCAGCGTCCGGGATGTTACATGCCCACCAGCTTCCGCCTGGTTCGTCCTCGAACCACACCGTACTGGAAGAGAGGCCCTGCTTTGATACCACTTGTAACACCCGACCGCTTCAAGAATTAATGACTATCCCCACATACTAACACGAGACTTTTCAGTGTGCTTTTTCCTCACTCGCACACTTCTCGGGAAAACTTCCCAGGAGATCACCCATCTCAGAATTGCCCCAAGTCAAGCACGCTTAACTATGGAGTTCTTCCGTTCCGGGCTACCGAAAAGTAGATGCATCTTGTTAGTATAGGTAGTACCAATTAATTCTTATAAGCTATCCCAAACCGTGCAGTCTCATACCTGCACAGTCTTTGGAATCCTTCTCTTTCGGGTGTTGTTTTGATTCATCCATGCATGTAACCCCCCGCTGGAAGCCTGTCAGGAGCCGCTCCTTGTCCATGCCCTTTAGCACCGGCGATCACTCCCCGCCCTCGTCAATCTTGTAATGCACATAGGAAATCTTGTATACAAGATTACCCTTGCAATTTACAAATAGGAAGTTTCCCAGATTCAAATCCGCGACCTTTCAGTCACAAAGAAGCAATATTGCCATTACTCCAGCTCACCCTCTACTTGGATTAAACAATTAGAAAATTGCAAAACATTTCCTTCAGTGACTAGCAAAGTTTAAAAGATTCCTCTATGCTTAATTTTTACGTCCAAAACTAAAATATTTTATTCACGACAAAAAAGCCTACAGTTTATCTATTGCTTAAAATATAAAGCTAAATAAGATCTGCAACTTTACCTTTACTTTGCATTTAATCACACTCAATATTCCAATTTGCTTAAGCTCTTCTCTTCGCTGCAATTTCTTATCTGTAGTTACATTAATACCATTCTTTTCTTTCTTGTTCCTACTTTAGGGAATTTTTTAATTCATGTTTATTTACCCCCTCTACTTCTATACAGTTTTTTCTTCTCCTTGTAATGCACATTTTATTACAATAGCACAATAGGCATTTCTCTTATCTTGTTTAATTTGTCTGATCTTGAATAATATTTTATCATGTGTTATTTTGTCAGTTGATATGGCGTATTATAATTTGTAGGTAGTCATCCCATTATATGAGCTAAAAGCAGTGAACCCTTCATCAAACACAGCCAATCCTGCTGAAAAATACATCCAGGTGATCTCTGTCGACAAGCATGAATTTTGGTTTATGGGCTTCTTGAACTATGAAGGTGCTGTGGACTGCCTGCAAGAAGCTCTTCAAGCCGGCAACTTTTTACAATCACAAGCATAGTCTGTTTATACGTTCTAGAGTTTCAAGCCCCCAAATATGTGCTGTCTTTTGCAAGAGTTTGTAGATTTGATCATTATGGTCTTGGAGCTGTTGATAAATATCCCGCCAATTTTTTTGGCAATTTTGTGGATATGAATCTTCCGTAGGGTTCATTATACCTTGGATCTTTTGAGGGGATCCATTAGATTAGTTTAGAAAAGTATATGTTGACTCTTTCTGTTTCTCGTTATCTTGCATGCTCTAATTCAAAACGGAACCAGTTTGCTCGGTTCGAATTAGATGGTGCGACTGATGCGGCCTTGAACAAGCCATTCGACCAATTATGATTGAATCCCATAACCATTACTTTTTTGATTTTATAAAAAAAAAAAATCAATATGTTTACATTTTCCGAAAGTTTTAATATATTTTATATTATTATGGGTGGATTATTTTTATACTGTCAATTCGATTCAACTAATAAAATCAATTTTATTTAGTTAAACCTATTCTAAAAATCTTGTCGGCTTAATCTCCAATCCAGCTTAAGAATATTATGACAATTTATAAAATATATAAAGTTAAGATTTAAAAATTATAACAAATAGGTCTAATATTTTCATTTCGTATCAATAATAATAAAAATAAAAAGAATTCTATTAAATAATTATAAATAAATTCATGACAGTTATATGAAACATATATTGAAAATACAAGTTTGATTATTTTTAGTTTTGATACGTAACTTTCGTTTTTCAAGTCTGTATTTATCTCTTGAAACTAATTATAAATGTACCCTTTTTGGTGAAGTAGATCCGGAAGGGAACCAAAGGTTAAAGGGAGAAAAAGCCCCAGGTAATCTCAAAGGCCTTAAAACTCCCTTTCGGTTTGTCTTAAAATTCTTCTGATGTTATCTTTTCTTCTTCTTGTTTTACCTTTTATTTGCTTCTTTATTTTCCATGGATTGTGGTTGGTATTTGTTTGGAGGTGAATATCAATGTGTAGTTAAAGAGCTAGTAATTGTATCTACAGAGCTAAGGTAGAGATGACGGGCAATAAGAAGTCCAGTACCTCGAGCCAGCAGTCTGATAGAAACACTACCAATGGGTGGGTGGGTGTGTGTGTGTGTGTGAATCACCTGCTTAGTGGATAGGATGTGCTCTGAGTAAGTGTGAATATTGTAGCCATGGTGGGGAGAGAAAGTTGGGACCACTTAACTTGTCCATAACACAAGCCCCTCAGCTTGGCATTGCGTGAAGTCGGAATGCCAGGGTGAAAGTAGAGCCCAATGCCAATCAAATAATATTTAGTATTGTGCAAAAGGATATGAATGGCAGAAAAATCTGGCTTGTGACTGTTTTCGGGTCCCAATTTGCTTTCTCGGTTTGCTTGTTGCTCGTAGTCGTCTCTGGGTTTGTAATTGCTTTCAAGTTTGAAGTCGGAGGTGATATCTTGGAATGTCGACTTAATCCTGTAATAAATTAAATCAATAATTGTTTATTACGTTCCTGAGTAGGGTGTGAGAACCCTATATAACGATGTTTTACGCTCTGGTCAAGATCATTTAGAATCTTAAGGACTTATGTACACATGTGCCCGGACCCCAAAGGGAAACTGGTGCCCATGGCCTCAGAAGGACATATGGCTTTATGCTCACATTTCATCGTTTAACTCGGGTGCCTATGATCGTGGAAGAGCATGGGACTTAACACTCACAGTTCATTATTGAACTCGGGTGCCCAAGGTCTCAGAAGAACATGGGACTTGATGCTCGTTGAACCCGGTGCCCATGGTCTCGAAAGAACATGAAACTTAATGATTGCGGTTCAATGTTGAACCGAGTGCCCATAGTCTCAGAAGAACACAAGACTTAATGCTTCTAGTCGTATTGTGATTGCTTCATAATTGAATTATGATGTCAGTGAATGTGTTGCATCCTGAAAAATATAAAATATGCAAACTTGCAAAAATATGTCGCATGTAGATTATTAGGATGCTTGTAAAAATGCTATGATAAAAATAATAGGAGTTTTAGAAAGAACTGCATATATGGTGTCGTAAAACCAATCTTGTTGGTAGTCGAGGTGCTTGCTGGTAACCAAGATGGTCTACCGATGGATGAGATGGCCTCAAGGGGTTGAGATGCTTCTTGGCTGAGGTTCTACTAGAGGAATATGAGACTTTTTATACCGGGTTGTACTTGTTATTTCAATTTTCCATTAAAACACAAGCAAAATTCATGCAGATGTACGTAGATGCATTGACGTGACTTTGTGAAAGAGAGCCCGAAACAAAGAAGAATATTGTTGCCTCGTAGCTATTACTATTACAGTCACTCAAGTTATGGCTGATAAGGATGCATCAATTTTACGATAACATAATTGTTATTGCCATTGATTATGTTCACGTGCTGGTAGGGGGTTGATTCTTTCGGCTTGTCCTTACACACCCATTAGTGGAAACAAAGATTCTTGAAGAGATCAAAGAAAATTCTCTTCAACCCCTTATTTCTCCATATCATCCTCACCAAGGTGATGACCTTTCCCATGAACAAGTCAAGCTACAAGAAATAAAATGCACACATGCTATGCTATAGGAAGAATTAGCAATCTATTTATAATAACAGAGTTGTATTAGAGCACGTTATGCTGCGGGGGTTCAAAGTGTTGTGTTTAAACTTTAATAAATAAAGTAATTAAAAATAGGAAATGAAAGGTTTATGTTATGAAGAGGTGTGTCCCTGGGAATTTGTTAGTGGACAATTATTATGCTTAGAGTTACTAGGTAACCTTTTAATTGTTTTAGTCATTTGCTATTAAATAGCACTATGTAAACCATTTCAAAATTGGACTTGGCATATACAGTAATAGAAAAAGGTATTGATCAGAGAAGAAGAACTCCTCGTGTGTAAATTTGCGTGTTTGAGAGAAACACCATTAGAGGACCTGTGAATTACAAATTGGTATCGGAGCTTGAACCAATGGAGAGGAACAGTCTGTCAGTGCCCCGTCTAACAAAGACGAACTATGAAAATTGGAGCATCCAAATGAAAGCTCTACTAAGAGCCCATGATAGTTGGGAATTGGTGCAAGATGGGTTCGTAGAACCAGAATCGACAGTAGGATATTCAGCGAATCAAATCAGACAGTTGAAGGCATCAAAGACAAAGAATGTGGCGGCACTTTGTATAATGTTTCAAGCTGTTGAAGAAATTGGTGTCCTTGAGAAGATAGGAGAGGCGGCAACAGCAAAGGAAGCTTGGGATATTTTGGAGACAGTTTACAAAGGAGCAGGTCAGACTTCAAACTCTACGAGGAGAGTTGGAAGGCATGAAAATGAAGGAGACCGAAGGAGTGTCAGATTTTATCACCCGGATTCAGACCGTGGTAAATCAGCTAAAGCGGAATGGAGAGGCCCTGCCAGACTTCAGAGTGGTGGAGAAGATATTGAGATCGTTGACAGACGTCTTTGAAAACGTGGTGTGTGCGATTGAAGAATCTAAGGACTTGTCTACGCTCTCTGTTGATGAGCTAGCAGGTTCTCTTGAGGCGCATGAACAACACAAGAAAAAGAAGAAGGAAGAGACACTGGAGCAAGCACTCCAGTCAAAAGCAAATATCAAGGAAGAAAAGGCGCTCTACTCTCAGAATGCCCGAGGTAGAGGTCGTGGAAGAAGTGGACGAGGAAATGGCCGAGGTGGTCGTGGTCGAGGTCAGGAGACAAGACATGAGAAGAAAACTGAGTCTAGTCATCAAAACTGGAGAGGTAGAGGACGAGGCCAAGGTGGAAGAGGCCGATGGACAAACCAATCAAACGTGGAATGTTACAAATGTGGGAAGTATGGACATTACTCAAGAGATTGCAACTCGGACAGATGCTATAACTGTGGCTGAGTTGGGCATTTTGCTAAAGATTGCCGTGATGAGAAAAAGTTTGACGAGACTTCAAACTTCGCTGCAGAAGGAGAAGCAAGAGATGGATGAGTTCTTATGCTAGCCCATGGTGAAACAAGTTCAAAGAATGAGACAGAGTGGAACCTGTACTCTGGTGCCAGTAACCATATGTGTGGCCACAAACATTTATTTAAAGAATTAAGAACGTTGGAAGCAAAGCATGTGTCTTTCGGAGATGCATCGAAAATAGATGTAAAAGGCCGAGGTACGATCTGTTTCTTGCAAAAGGACGGACAAGTTGGTACAATTCGGGACGTGTATTACGTGCCTGAACTCAAAAGCAATATTCTGAGCATTGGACAGTTGATGGAAAAGGGCTACTCGATTTTTATGACAGACCGAGTTTTGCTGTTGAAAGACAAACAAGGGCGTCTGATAGCCCGAGTTCAGATAGAGAAGAATAGAATGTATAAGTTGTGCTTGAGCAGCTTGGAGGACGGCTGTTTGCAAGCCAGAATCGAGGACAAGATGGAATTATGGCATAAACGATTTGGACACCTTCATTATGGTGGTCTGACCGAGATGATGAATAAGAACATGGTAGTGGGACTACCAAAGATTAACTCTGAAGGAAAATTTTGTGAGGACTGCGTATTGGGAAAACATGCGAGGAGCCCGTTCCAAAGGATGGCGAGATACCGGACTAGGCAGCCTCTTGATTTGATCCATACCGACCTGTGTGGACCCATTACTCCGGGGTCCTTCAGTGGTAAGAAGTATTTTGTAACTTTTATTAATGATTTTAGTCGAAAGACTTGGGTGTATTTTCTGAAGGAAAAATCTGAGGTGCTAGAGGCATTTAAAAGGTTTAAAGTAATGATAGAGAATGGTACTGTGAAGTACATCAAATCGGTCCGTTCAAACCGAGGTGGGGAGTACGTGTCGACAACTTTCAAGAAGTATTGTGAAGAACATGGGATAAGGCGGTTCCTGACCGCACCGTACTCGCCCTAGCAGAATGGAGTAGCTGAGAGAAAGAACCGGACTATCCTGGATATGGTCCGATCCATGTTGAAGACAAAGAACATGCCGAAAGAGTTCTGAGGAGAGGCCGTACAATCTGCACTGTACGTGCAGAACAGATGTGCACATTCAAGCTTGAATGACAAGACTCCGTAGGAAGCATGGAGTGGTTTGAAGCCCTCGGTGGGTCACTTTAAAGTCTTTGGGAGTGTTGTGTATGCACACATACCAGATCAGTTGAGGACAAAGCTAGAAGATAAGAGCAAGAAGTTTGTGTTCATTGGTTATGACGAGAAGACTAAGGGATATAAGTTGCTAGATCCTGTCAATAGAAAAGTACTGGTTAGCCGAGATGTG